GGGCAACCTTGGCAGCTCACGCGCCTCTCCTTCCTGCCATGCTAGGTTACGATGACCTGACCCAGGGCACAGCAGCAGGAGACTATGCCAAGGGTGGCTACGGTGGATCATCACAGGCACAAAACAAGTCTGCAGGTTCTGGGCCTGGCAAAGGTAGCTCTACCCCTCCTTTGCAGGATTAACTAAAGTCCAGATAGTTATCTCCTACCCTGACTCCTGCTCAGGCAAGGCCGCCGCAGAGCGCCTCTGGAGGTGGGGGAGGCTGGAGCTGGGCCCTCCTCCCGTGGAAACAAATGTTTTTCCTCCTAGGCGCATCCGTGTCTTCAGGCACCACTGGCCTTCCCGACATGACTGGCTCTGTCTATAAGACGACTCAGGTGAGGGAGGACGGAGGCCGGGGTGTGGGTTGGTGGGAGGCGCAGGCCAGCCTGACCCTCACTGTTGTCTCTCTACTCGGCAGACTTTTGACAAACAGGGATTTCATGCAGGGACCCCACCGCCTTTCAGCCTGCCCTCAGCTTTGGGCTCCACTGGGCCTCTCGCCCCTGGAGCGGCCCCTGGTTATGCACCCCCACCGTTCTTGCACATTCTGCCTGCCCACCAGCAGCCCCACTCGCAGCTGTTACACCATCACCTGCCACAGGACACTCAGGTGAGTCCATGACTAGGGCAGCCGCCCCGCCCTGAGCTGGGGCGTCTACTCCAGCCCTGACCGTCTTCTCTCCTCAGAGCGGCTCGGGTCAGCGCAACCAACCCAGCTCCCTGCAACCCAAGTCGCAAGCCTCCAAACCCACCTATGCCAACTCTCCATACTGGACGAACTGAAGAGGGGGGTGGGCCGGGGCAAGGCATACCCTGAGCAGGAGAAAACAGGGCCCATTTCTTGGAGCTCAGCACCCTTTCCTAGAATCCCTGAGACACCTAACTGTGTCAGCCGCGCCTCTGTGGGGAGCCTGCCTCCCAGACTTGCTGTTGTATGTAATGTATTTATGTATGTATTTGTAAATGTGATAGAGGTCTTGGGGGTGTGTGGGGGGCAGCTGCTCCCCACACAGGCCCCATCGCTATGGCAAAATAAGATCCCTCCCTTCTTTCTGCCTTCAGGCCTTCTACAGCGCCCCAGCCCCTGCTCCGCAGGCTGCTAGGGGCAACGTCTGGAGGACTGGCTAAGGCAGTTTGGGCATTGGGTCAGGTACCAATGAAGAATCACGACTTATCTCGCGCCTTTGTAAAACCATTATTTGAGTCTTCTTCCCCGTGTAATTACTTTACCCCCTTTTCAAAACCCGGTCCTTTTGTCATGTGTCATGTCACTACTGCAAGGTCTCAACCTGGGAATAGCAGAGGTATCTCCCCGCCACTCCCACCCACTGGAACACAGCAGGGGCTTCTGCTGCTGGTCTCATGCCCAGAGACTTGCCTTCCTCTGGCTGACCATTTTTAACCTGAATTTGCCCTCAGAGAGGTGCAGCCAGTCAGCTCCCCTTCAAAAAAAAAATCAAAGATATGCTTTCACCTCCGTGAGAGTGCATCCTCAAGCCGAGGCTCTTCTACTGCAGCTGGCCTGAACTAGGTGGGCAGCTGCTGCAGGGGTTTTCTCTTTCGCCCAAACGCCACCTAATAAAAGTTGAGAGCGCATGCTCCGTCTCTGTGTGGTGATTGTAACAGATGTCGGGGTAGGGAATTCTCTTGTGGTGCGTTAGCAACAGGTTTGAACAAGAAACATTCCTGCCCTGGTATTCAACAGCTATTCCAAACCTCACCTGTATCGAAAATCTCGAGCAAAGGTTCTAGGCCTGAGGAAGAGTCAACCAGAGCAGTCAAGCCTTTGTTCCTTATGAACCTTGTCAAGGGCTGCGGTGGAACAGATGGGGGTCAGGGTGTGGTAAGAAGGTAAGCAAGGGCCCCTCAGCAGTGTACTTCCTCAGTCTGCCTGTTCTGTTCCCCGCTCTGTCTCTCAATCCTCCCACCCTCCCGCGCCTCTGGCCTGTGCCCCTGTTCTTGTATAAATAAATCTTTAAAAAAAAAAAGGGTAACCAACTGGGCGCTGGGCTAAGCATCTGCTCCTGAAACTCCAAAGCAACCATCCACCTGGGCCTAGGATTCTGAATACCACCTCCTCCCGCAAGCCAGCTTTTTGCAGGAGGCGAGTGTCTTCCCTAGCATGTGGCACAACCAGCTGGTGGGTTGGGCCAGAGAGGGGTTGCCCTAGACACAGCTCCTAAATAACCCCTCCAGCCTGGCAGGCTACACAAGCAAAGAAAATGCACGTTCTTTCAAGTCAGTACGCCAGACCAGCCCTGGGTCCGTCTACCGTTCCTGCTTTGGGCCTCTCAAGGTCATCAGGTGGGTGAGGTGCTGGTGTTAACCCACAGCTTTGACTCCTAACCAGGGTTCAAATGTCCATAATACACTAAATGAGGATCTTAATTAAACAGTGTGACCTCTTACCTGAATCCCAGGAGACAAGTGACAAAAGGCATCAACCTACCTGTGTTGGCCGACTGGGCCCGGTTCCAGCAGCAGTGGCCGTCTTTCAGCCACCTCTCTCGCCACTGTACTCACCGCCCTGCAATCCTCGACTTGGGCAAGACGTAAAGGGCCGGTTGGCAAGATCTGATTGTAGTTTTTCAGCAGAGTCCTGGACATAATTTGCAAGGGACAGGGGAAATACTGAGACCACACGTTGTAGTTTTAACACAAGAACAAAAAAGAGGGTCACCCCACGGGGAAGTAGCAATACAGGTATATTTTATTTCACATTTTATTAGTAGACAGATGGGCAGAAAAGACAAAATAAACCACTAAAGGGGAAGTCAACACAAAATGCATCAAAGATAATCTTATAAGTTAAACTAAGGAAAAACATCTATAATTTCAGCTAAGAAAACTATTAAAGTCAGGTGTGTCCTGCTGGTTTCAGAATAGTTGAAAATTGCATCTGAATCTTTTGGTAAATGTAAACCTTGTTTGTTAGGGTGGGAGGGGCGGAGTTCGTTTTCCGTGGAGAACTACACATGTCCCCCTTCAAGCTCTTGCTATGGTATGTCCCAAACATAAGGAAACCAGCAAATAAAGAAGCAAATAATTCCCATGAGAAGAAGGGCTACAGCATGTGGCTAATAGGCATTCTGGAATGATGAGAAATAGTGGGGAAGACTTTGAGAAGCAACAACGGAGCCATGATACATACTTTCTCCACCCAGCCTCAGTACACAGACCTGAAGAGCATCCAGATTCCACTAGCGTCAAAAGGAACCTAAAAATGCAGAATTTTGAGTTGACGTGACAGCAAGTCATCAGCACAGCTACACTTGCAAGTTCCCACCTGAGCCCTTCACTCCCAGGAAGAACAACAACTCTGCAAGTTTTTTCTTGCCACAGGACGTGTTCTCAGAGCTCTGGAACCAGGATCTGGGTTTTGCAAGTCGGCCTGAGCTACCAAAACGTCTACCTGCTGGCAACGAACACACCCCAGTCTCGTTGGGAACTGATTGTACCCTTATTATTGGCAAACTCAGCCCTCAACACCCCAAAGGGCCGAGAGCCACAATCTATACTTGTTTCTCTCTCCCTGAGTCAATGCGCAGTAAAGGCCAACAGGGCCGGATAGGACAAGGCTGAGCAGCACAGCACCTCCCTCAACGCCAAGGCGCCTGACCTGCCCTGGGAGAGAAATGTTTAGCGGTAAGAGAAAGGCTTCATGTCAGCGTTCCAAGAGCGTAAGACCAAGCTACTGGCTCTGAACATACGGGGTGAGGGGTGATCTGAGAACGACCAGAAGAGCAGGCTGCCTGGAAGCGTTCCTCGAGAAGCCTGGGAAGTAAAAAGCGTGTTTTTACACCCTTCTGTGAATTTAAGATCAGAGCATTTGACCGCAAAGATTTGCCCTGTTCTGTGGAAGTGACTGGAATCAGATGCAGGGGGGAGAGCAGTCCTGACCCTGGGGGGGCCGGGCAGGGTCTCAGGGACAAGGGGCCACACTGCCCCATGTGAACCTTGGCATGTTCCATGTTCCCACCTAACACTAGCTCAGACTGTGAGAGGCCAGGGGGGCTGCCAGGTCAGCATGTGCTGGAGACTTTGAAGAGTGAATGAAAACCCTGAGATCAGAAAGGAAGGAGGAGCGAAGGAAGTAACTACTCCGTCCTAGGATCCATCCTACCCCCGTTTCTCATCAACCCTTTGGCTCTTTCTGAGTTGACACTAGCGTGCAGGGACGCGGAGGAGGATCGTGGTTGGTCTTCTGTTGGTTTCCTTCCGAAATCCGTGATTCTACATGGGAGTGAGGTTCCCCGCTGGCAGAACACGCCTAGGAACTGGCCCGCTCCCATTGAGAGAGAAATCCCCTTCAAGTTCTGAAGTCCCTGGTGGGTGAAGGCTGCTGGATCTCAGTATTGATTGAAGAAACATGATCCATGTTTTCCCAGACTAGAGAAATCAAAGCTGCAGCAATTGCCTGGCAGGAAGCTCTAGACACTGGCCGCGGCCAGTCCCCTGGGCCCTGCCGGGAGAGTCACAGCAGCCCCGGGCACGCTCCAGGCGCAGCTTCGGCGCGCTCTCCATGGCTAGAGCACATTGGAAGGAGAGAAAAATCCAGGTCACATCCAGTGAGGACAGTGGGAACTGGCCACTCCTCTCTCAACTATGTCCACGGTCATTGATCACTACCAGTGTAAGCAGCTCAATGAAAACCAAAATCTCAACACATGCACCTAGCATTAATACTGAGTAAGTAAAACTGGCTACTTAAAAACAAAATCCTCATGGTAAGAGTGTACTTTGAGGGAAAAGGCCATGTCAAATACATAAAACACATGTTTTATCTCCCAAGAGTGGTCACCAGTAGTTTAGACGTTTTTCCCCGCAGCAGCATCAACCAAAATCTTCGCCCCATCACTAAGACCTCACGCACACGCTCGTCCCTGTCCTCGCCCTCCTGGAAAGGGGAGCGGGGGAAACAACTCTGCCTTGAAAATAAATAGCAACCGAGTGCTCAGTTCTATGTAAAGTATGAATATTTATTTCAGGCTTTAGATCCCAATCGATTTCAAAAAACAAAATCTGATTTCTCTCCTCAGAATAGCTGAGGCCTCCGTGTTCAGGTGACTTCCTGGAAGCTGAAGGGGCGCGTGCCCGTAGGAACACGTCTCATCAGGCTCAGCACAACGTCCCTGATGCCCGCTGTACCCCAGTCTTAAGGGAAAGAAACCAAATGCACCGCCACGGGCCGCATGAACGCACACACACTAATGTTAATGAGCAGCTAAACCTTGGCAAATTAGCTTTTTTTGTAAAGTTTTGTGGGGTTTTTATGGTTTTTCTCCCCCCCCCCTTTTTTCCCCGCTACGCAGCATATGCAGCACTTGTCAACTCCCAAAGGGTTCCCAGCTTCACACACAATTAAACGTCTTGATGAAAGACTATTTAATTCTTCAAGAATCTAAAAACAGACCAAACGTGTTTTGTTGTGAACACTTTCTAGAGACGAAGTAAGACGGGAGTTTGGGTTGAAAGAAAGAAAAAAAAAAAAAGAATCAATACAGTGATGGAAGGGTAAAGAATGCAAGAATTCAGACATTCTGCGGAGGATTACTTTCTCTCCATTTAGAGGTCCATAAAAAGGAGCAAACTGAGATCCATAAGGGGAGTCAGCAGGAGCCGTGTTTGTTTACCCCACCCCGTGATAGGTTTTTGCTGAGGGGCCACTGCTAGGTCCCCACTTGCTCCCCTCCCTTTGGCCTGAGTCGGCAGGGCAGTACAGGGGCGCTGAAGGAGCACGTCACGACTCCTCATTCCCAGAATCATCATCATCGTAACAGTCGGCATCTTCCTCCTCCTCATCTTCATCATCAATGTCGTCGTCGTACAGGTCGTCATAAAGCAAATCTGAGCTGTTGTCATTGGAAGGCACTTTAGTTTTGATGCAGTATTCCGCCAGGGTTGTGGGGACCTTTACTCCATCCTTTTCTGCTTCGGCTTTAGTGGCTGAAACCTGTTTCCTGAAGGGAGGGATAGACTGTGTAAGTATCTGTCTTGAAGATGGATTTATAATTGACCTTTAAGGATAATCAAGATTCAGGGCCTCCCCTGGTGGCTCAGCGGTTGAGCGCTGGGCTGCGAAGCTGCCCGCAGCCTCTGCAGCGCCAATTCGATCCCCGACCGCTGGCGAGGGTCCCACGTGGCGTGCAGACCTCTCCTGCCGTGCCCGCTGCTCCCCTCAGCAGTGTATTTCATCAGTCTGCCTGTTCTGTTCCCCACTCTGGCTCTGGTGAATTCTCTGTACCCAGTGCTTGTATAAATAAAATAAATAAATCTTAAAAAAAAAAAAAAAAAGAAGAAGAAGAATCGAGATTCCTCCACTCTGGTTTCCAAACTTTATACTACTTGCCTGAAACCAACTGACGGGTGCCCTCTACTACACCACAGATCCTCAAACCAGGGTACCATTCTGAAGGATGCTTTTAGTAAAGACACTTGGGAGTTTAAAAATACTCGACCTCAAGTGTTGGTTATCCAAAATCATCTCACCACTCATAATGCAGCCCCCAAACTCTTGTTCATTCAGTAATTATCCCACTTGAACTTCCAGTAAAATTCAGTGCTCTGCTTGATTCCAAAACTTTGCATGACTGACTGGCTTACCCCTTCATTTTCACAGCCCACGATACTTTTTCCGGTTCCAAAACATTCAAGCCACTCTCTGATCTTTTCTTAATACCTTAAATACACACCTTGAATTTCTTCTGTGTTGCTTTACCCCGCTCTCAATGTGGTTGGCTGTTTCCTGACATGCAGATCTAAGCTTAAATATCATATTATCCTGTTTGCCCACTAGGTTAGCATTTTTTTTCCTTTTTGTGATCTTCATCACCCCCAAAATGTGAACTTCAGTGGAGCTGAGAACTTGTCTTTTCTTAGTCACTTCTATCTCCCCAGTGCCCAGAACAGCGTGGCACATAAAACAGGCAACAAAAATACCGGAATGGTCAAGTTTCTTTCAAGTCTGAAAAGCTGACCCATCAAGGGACTGAAGAAACTGAACTGAAAACATGAAGCCACCACTCCCCTGACCTTCCTTTTGCTGAGCTCGGTGATGAGACCTTCCAGTCACTCTCACTTGCCTTCCTGAGGCCTCTCACTTTCCCGGGCCATCTTTCTACTCCCATGGTTTTCACCACCATTCTTTTTATGCTGACACTCTCAAATGATCTGCGCCTCCAGCCCAGACCTTTCTTTTGAGCTTTAGACCTCATGTAAGCCTTAAGGAGGTCTCTACCCTGATGCTCCCCGGAACCCTCACTCAGCAAATGGCATTTGTCATTTTCCACCTCAGCAGCAAGCTTCTCTCATTCTTCTTCTGAAAGGATCAGTTCTTAAAATCCTGAATCTCACTCTAGAGTTCCAAATATGCTTTCTTTTCAGTCCTACTGCCACTGCTACACTTTAGTATTCGTCTCAGCCCCCATATTATCCTCTAGTCAACTGTAGTCTTTCAAAACACAAATATGATTACGTCTTCATTTTCTACCCTACCCACTTCCTTTAAGATTAAGGACCAAACATCTTATCATGACTTCAATGGCTTTAAATACCCTCAAATCTCTCTTAATTTCTCATTACTTCACAAATTGAATTCACATTCAAGCATGTGAAACTACTTACAACTCTCTGTTGACACACCTTGCTATTATTTCATGCTGTTCTCCTGAAAGAGGCTTTCCCTTCCCCTTTTGGGCCCCCCCTGGTGGCGCGGGCAGTTGATTGCTGGGCTGTGAAGCTGCCCGCAGCCTCTGCAGCACTGGTTCGATCCCCGGCCACTGGCGAGGGTCCCACATGTCGTGCAGACCTCTCCTGCCGCCCGCTGCTCCCCTCAGCAGTGTATTTCGTCAGTCTGCCTGTTCTGTTCCCTGCTCTGGCTCTGGTGAATCCTCTCACCCTCCCGTGCTTCTCACTGTACCCAGTGCTTGTATAAATAAATAAATCTTAAAAAAAAAAAAAAAAAAAAAGAGGCTTTCCCTTCCCCTTTTAACTTGCAAAAGGTCATCCATCATAGGAACAGCATAGCATTATATAGTCCTCCTTCTAATCTTGTTTGTGCTTCTATAATTACACTTATTATAGCCCATAAGCACCATGATCATTTGTTTACAAATGCTTGCTCCATAAGTATGAGCTCCCTAAGGAGGAAGATTATGTTTAATGGCTTACCTGACACAAAACTGGTATAGAATAAAGAATGAGATAAATGATTAAGAAACATAAAGGGAATAATAAAATATATATATATACTGAGAATATTCATGCGTCCTTCATGTACTAAATTCTACCTTTCCTTGAAAGTTTCCAATCCTGGATTGGAGTCAGACTCCAATCCTGTTTTGTGAAGCATTTTCAGCTTTCAATCCTTAGCCCACTCCTGCTCTTCTAAATTTCTACAGGTACTTTCTATTTATCTTAACTATCTTCAGTCAATCTTTGGTATATACCAGTCACTTAGGGGGCTGGTAAAGCAAAATACAGTTTACAGATGTAAACTCACTAAATGACTCTGGATTAGGAATGGGTCCAAAGGTAATTCATTCCAGTGGGCCAAAAATTTGAGAACTATGACTCTGTATTAGTCGCTATCAAGAGAAGGATTCTATTTGTATTGATTCTAGTACTTCCCATACTCCTATGTATAGAATGTGCTGATACTGTCCTTGGAGTTCTACTTTAGGGGTATAAAAAATGTAATAGCATTAGGGTATTGGACTTATTACAGTTCAGTAACAAATTCTTCAGTACCGTTGTGAAAACACCATGTCCTGTTTAAGATATGACAGAGAGATAAAGGGTTAATTACCTCTTTTATACAGATTAAAAACCCAAAAAGTTAACTGATAAAAAAGTCTCATGTAACTTGTCAGAGCTGGCAGTAGGTTCCAAGTCTCCTGATTCCTATTTCTAGTACTCTGTTAAACCATATACCAGTGTTATTGATAATGAGGACACGTAGGAAGGTGCTGCAAAAGATCAATAAACAAAACTAGATAGCTTTGCTTTCAAAACTATCTGGAATTTATGTAACCTTGTGGGTTTGCTACACTTACTGGATATATCAGAAGTCCCAAAACAGGGCCCCTGAAACGATCAGGAAGGGAAAATTTGCAGGTTTGACTATTTCAGAGCCTGGAAGTTGATTCCCAGAAAATAAAATCTGCTGCAGAATGATCTTTGAATGTATGCTCTCTCTCAAAAAACCAAACTCAATAGAAGCCCAGACAGAAGATCTCTTTGAATACCATAAACCTAACCGAGAGAAATGGAATAGACCTTTAAGCTCAATTTAAGCCCTTGGTTGTAGAATATACTTCGGTGATATATGCAGACTTGAAGTTATCAAATGGGAAAACAAAACAAAGCACCTTACCTAATGATTTCAGCATATTCTTTGTCTTTTCCTTTACTGTCCCTCCATTTCCTGAACATGACTGAAGCATCCACATTGGCTGGGGAGAAGGTGTTGGGCTCATTAAGCAATGAGATTACACTTAACAGGATAGTCCTAGAAACAAGAAAAAAGAGTGAGCTATGGATACTCATTCACAGCATTCAAAAGTATTCTCCTTTTTTTACTTAAGAATCTAATATTTGAGACCTCAGGGGAATGGAAATAGAGTATCACATAATTTTTTGGTTGTTTTGGGTTTTTTTGTTTGTTGTCAGTACTTAGCTGTTCAGGACAGGAACAAGCTCCTAACTAGGAGACAAAAAAGAGGAAATCTGCCATGTTGCAGGGAATAACTCTGTAAAAAGTACTATCTTAGTTGGCCACATGTTCCAATATGCAAAAAGTAGAGGTCTAGAAGCTTACTTACAAATAACATTTATTTTAAAAGTTATAAATTAAGTGGAACAGGAAAAAGCAAAGGCATAAAATATTTGGCTTCAAAGTAAATGCATGAGTGTAAATGATAGTCTCTATAAGATTCCCGTCCTAGCTGCTTAAAAGATCTAAAAAACATTATTACATAAAAATCTATTTTTCTTCATACTTCTAAGGGAAGGAAGAAAGAGTTAAGTGGGAGGATGGAGAAAAGCAACAGCCTTGACAAGGAAGAATCAATCTCAGCAATAGAAATCTTTATTCAAAAACATTTATAAAGCACTTACAATGTGCCGGTAGTAATAGGTGAGATGCTGGATGTACCATAGCGACCAAGTTAGATATCATCATGCACAGATTAAGATTAGACACCTTAATTAACCATAGGGAATAAAATTTCTGTTAGGTAAAAGAACTAAAAGAGCTCCAAATTATTCCCAAGTATTTCCTCCTAAAAGTGATGTACAGGTAGACAAAGAGAAAAAAATGGGAGGAAAAATTAAATTTCTCTACCTTTTCTCATTGGTCAAGGTTACAGATTATGCTGCTGTAAAAAGTTTTTGCTCCTGGTTCCAAGCAAAAAAAAAAAAAAAAAGGAGGGAACCAGGCAACTAGATGTCTGATTTGATGAAACCTTTTCCTAAAACGGGCAAAGAGCTTCCGTTAAGTGATTATACAAAATGATTCAAAATGCATTTTCAAAGGAAGTTTTCTTATTTAGTTAACCCTTTGCACTCCGCTGTCCCCTCTCAGGGGTATTGGTAGCCAATGTCCAGAATGGTTTGGAGTGCAAAGGGTTAAAATCCATTTATCAGGCTTGTACAGACACCCCTTTCTATTGGGTTAAACATAACTCCTTGCCCCTCCCTGCATGAGTCTTCTGAATTCCTCCATCAACATAACGCTTCCAGGAAATACATCACAGCCAGTAATGGGAAACAGACTGACATGACATCCTAGAAGCAGAAGAAAATTCCAGAAAGAAAGGCTGCTTCAGAAGAAAACAGACAAAGCCTGTTAAAAGATTAGCAGGATATGGATGAAGTGTAGAAAGAGGGGAAAATAAACCTCTACCAGTCCAGAATTAGCACTATATACCTACCACTTTCCATAATAACGGAAACACTTGGAATGTGTTATCCAATATGGTAACTACCAGCTACAACTGAGCAGTGTGGAGAAACTGAATTTTTAGTGTTACTTCATTTTAAGCTTTTAAACAGTCATATGTAGTTAGTGGCTAATATAATGGACAACACAGGTCTAAATCATATCAACTGGAATCTTTCCCTATGAGTGGTTTCATCAATTGGTTTTATTACATCTTATTATTATTAAAATACTATATACTGGGCAGTACATTTTTTTCTGAATAGTGAATCATTCATTTCTAGCAAAACAATACCACCGTGGATTCTCAAATCGAATCATGTTTTCAGAAGCCTCAGGTAGACTGTGATAATAGTTAACCCACAATTTAAAAAAATTTTATTTTTATATTCCCCATACAATTGCAACCCCCTTATTTTGACCCCAATCTCTCCTTTCCCTGCCCCCCATCCCCCCATAGTGTGTCTCTGGTTCATAGTTGCTTGTTGATTTTGATTTTTTCTTTCTTATAGCTATTCTTTTTTCTGGTCCCTTATTTAGGTTTTCTAGATTCCTGCTATGAGTGAGACCATCCGGTATTTTTCTTTTTCTTTCTGGCCTATTATGCTGAGCATGATCCCTTCCAGCTCCATCCAAGTGGCTGCAAATTGCATGTGTTTATCTTTTTTGAATGCTGAGTAATATTCCATGGTATATATGTACCACATCTTCTTGATCCAGTTATCTATTTTTGGGCATTTGGAGTTAACCCACAATTTTTCACTTCTTTCCCTCATCTGAAGATCAGAATCTTTTCTTGTACAGGGAATCCATTCCACTGATTCAGATAAGGCTAATAATATCTTTCCCCTACTATAGAGCCCTATTTCCATACAAACAGTAGACATACCACATTAAATGCTGGTCAAAGGATTCATTCACCTGTTCAAAGACAGTGAGTTTGGGGATATGCATGGCCAATCAGAACCCTGGTGGAAAATACTGTCATTTTAAACCAACAACAGAAAGTAAATTTATTTTTAGTCTTGATTGGACTGATTACTGTGAGAGTAAGGAAAGCTTAGAGCCGGTGGTCACCTTTGTCATCAAGTGTTCAGAGTCTGCCTAACAACAAGGGCAAATGGGAGAAAGCAGAACAGATTCTCTTCTCTAACAAAGATTCCTGATGTTATTCATATGCAATGTCCTATTAAAAATTTCCCAATCAGGGGTCTCCCTGGTGGCGCAGGCAGTTGAGCGCCGCACTGTGAAGCTGTCCGCAGCCTCTGCAGCGTGGGTTCAATCCTGGCCGGCCGGTGAGAATCCCACTTGGCGCAGCAGACCTCTCCTGTCTCGCCCGCTGCTCCCCTCAGCAGTGTATTTCGTCATCTGCCTGTTCTGTTCCCCGCTCTGGCTCTGGTGAGTCCTCTCACTTTCCCACGCATCTGGCCTGTACCCCGATTCTTGTACAAATAAATAAATCTTTAAAAAAAAAATTTAAAAAAGTAAAAATTTCCCAATCAGAATGTTGTACATAGGTTACAGGTAAATTATATATAGATTCCCTCAGGCAGATGGGTGGGTAGGACCTGGAACATTAACTTCTAGTCAAAGGATCACCTTCAGTTTACTTCATTGTGATCTACAAATACTATCATTTTTTCCGATGTATCATGACTGGAAAAGGGTGGAAAGCAATGTCATGCATCATCAAATTGTCTGTCACTTGTACCAAAATAATTTACCACAAGCATAACACCTACAGCCTGGTAAACAAATCTGCGAGGTTAAATATTCTTTTTTTAAAGAGATTTATTTTATTTATGCATACAAGAACTGGGGTGTAGGCCAGAGGTATAGGGGGTGAGAGGATTCACCAGAGACAGAGTAGGGAGCAGAACAGGCAGATCTACTGAGATACACTGCTGAGGGGAGCAGCAGGCAAGACAGGAGAGGTCTGCTGTGCCATGTGGGTCAGCTCCCTGGCCAGGAATCTAACTCATGCCACAATGGCTGGCAATAGCTTGATAGGGCTGAGACCTGCACCACCAGAGAGGCCCCTATTATTCTTATTTTTATAGGTTGGAAAAATTAAACCGATACTATACAAAAAGCTCTGAGAAGGTTATGAATAATTTCAAATGCAAATACCTTTGCAGAGTCACATATGAAGATTAAAGAGCACAATCTGAAATTTGCTTGTAAAGCCTCTACACAAAAAAAACTGCATGAAAGTGGGTAAGGCAATCCCTGAGGTAATGCCCAGGGAATGCCTCTAAATTGAAGCCTAGGTAACCTGAGGGTGTAGAGAGAAAAAAATGATGCTTGTATTCAAAATGCCAAAGATAGTTTTTGATGGGCAGATTAGAATGAAAGGAATTCCCTGCCTCCAAATAAACTGGATTAGGGCCTCCCTGGTGGCGCAGGGGTTAAAGTCTCAGTGCTATCAAGCTATCACCAGCCACTGCTGCATGAGTTCACCTACCAGCCAGGGAGCTAACCCACTAGGCACAACAGACCTCTTCTGTCTCGCCCGCTGCTCCCCATCTTGGTAGTATATTTAAGTAGATCTGCCTGTTCTGCTCCCCATGGTGTCTCTGGTGAATCCTCGCAACCCGCTGCACCTATGGCATACACTCCAGTTCTTGTATGTGTAAATAAATAAAAATAAATCTTGGGGAAAAAAAAAAAACTAGATTAAATGAGATAAGGGCCTAAAAGAAAAAAGTGTTCAAAATATTTGAAGTCAAGACAAGGCAAATGATGGTCTTATGTGTTTATGCAAGAGAAGTTAAGGGCAAATGGGTAATGTTTAGGTAATGGCAGATTACCTAGCCAGGCAGCACTAGATGCAATAAGAAAAGTCTTATTTGGGGGGTTATATGTAAAGAAAGTGGAGGCTTGTTTTCTCAGAGTGGGAGGGTATGTGGTAAGCATACAGCTCAACATTCAACCTCCAATACCAAGAATCACTAATCTTAGAGCGACCACTTCCTCTAAGCTAGAGCTGCTACTAGCCCTGAAAATCGAGCACCAAAATCATACCAAAAGGACAACTCTGCATTTAATTGGCCCAGTTTTCCAACAGATCAGTGTAATTGTATTGATAAAATAATGTGCATCTTTGAAAAAGCGTAAGAGGCTCTTAATTATGCTCTTAATACCTAAAATGGAATAAATAAAACTCAGAACTTTTACCACTTAGTTAAAACCAATTTTTAAAGACTATTAAGATACTTTACATATGCACCCTTTGTTACAAAGGACACCTTTCCCCTCAAAAAAGAAAGATGTATTTCAATTTTGGCACATCTAAAGTAAAAACTCTCAAAACATGTTGTTTCTGTACTAAGTACCAAGTTAAATTCTTTACTACTTTTAAAATGAATCTGATGTGACATAGGTATCTAACAATTACTGCTAATTGATAACAAGGAATCACTTCACATTTGACCAAAAAAAAGAAAACAGCAGCAGTGATTCAAAAGTACTATTCTAGGGACTTTACAGACACTGTTCATTTAATCTTTCAACTACTGAGGAATTATCCTTAACTTATCTATCAGAAAAGCAGCTCAGAGAATTTAAAT